AACTTGATTTTTTATCTAAATTAAATATTAAAAAATATTTTTTGGTTTTGAATTTGTCGTTCAATGTTTTTGGCAATCAAAAAGGTAAATATATTTGGTTTTTATATCTTGTTTACACAAAAACATTTCTGCAGATGCCCAGAATTTGTGCTGTTTTCCATTGCACGACAAAATGAAGAAGTAAACAATTTTTTTGAGGGTGAAAGAAAAATTGAACCCAATGGCAAGGGATGAAACTCTAAATACTGTACTGCAAAGAAAAGACAGAAGCTGTCAATTACATTTTGAGAAAAAAGATACAAAATTAGAGAGAAGACATTAAAAGATTTAACATTGAAGTATTTAATCGACTAGGGTTTTGAGTTTTGACATATTTCTAAGTCTTTGAAGTAATATTTTGTCTTTAAAGTCCTATATAAATAAGTAAATGAGTTCACAAATGTATCAAGTTTTTAAAAAAATTATTTATTTCTTTACTCTGACCACTTTGTGGTTGAAACGCGTTGTGTTTTAAATAAAAGTTTGGTGTGACGGGCTAATCGTGTTTTTGTTCTTCTTTATTCTGTTTACAAAGTGCTCGCTCACCACAAAAATAGATCCTGAAATTGTCGTTATTGTGACTTCAAAAAATCTTACTGTACACGAAGTGGGTTCTGACCAAGTAAAAAACATCATTTTTATAAATCTTAGAAGATTGTCTTTACAAAATCCTTCTATTCTAAATTTTGCACCAACCTTGATCGCTACATTATTTGTTAAGAATTGTATAACTGAAAAATAACGTATGTATAAAAGTTACTTACTATAACATTATTTATTTGTTGTTTTATTTCTTCAATAACACTTCTTTTCCACGTTTTTTTAAAGGTCTTGCATTATTATCATCATAGGTATCATCTTGGGTAAATATCAATAACAGCAATGATTTCTACTCTTTTTTTTTTCTACTAGACGATAAGGTGGCAACTAATAAATGCTATGGATTGACTCGATAGCATGAACGTTATTCTAAAAGATGCAGATTTGTTTAAAAGTTAAAGGATTTTTTCCTTTCATCAAGTGTAAAACCAAACCAAAAACCTCCTCGAGGACTAAATAAATGAAACGGCACTTACTTGCCACTTTTATTAAACATATTGTACTTTATATGTGGCGCCTATTAAGTTGTTTTTTGCACTTTTTGTTTTTGCACAATTTTGACAAGCCCACAGTAACCTAACAAATTATGACAGCGCTAATTTCATATTTGACATTATTTACGCGCGGCGACGTGATTTTTCGTTCATAAATACGCAGTAATTAACGTAGTATCCGATAGAGGCACTACGGGTATCGTTGCCCTCAAAACCTACTGAGATCCACATTTTTTAATTCAATTTTGCGAGTTTCCAGACCTGTCTATTTTACGATCGTGGCCTTGTCCCTTGTAAACACTAGCAGAGGTTATGTGTGTTACAAACAAACCAACCCGAAAGGCATTTCTCTCAATACGAGTTCAGTGAATTTATTTCTATTGACAGCCGTTGCTGTTGACAGAACTACTTATCTGACTCAAAAAGAGTATAGAGCGGCACAGAAAAATTTACATGTAAAGAAATTCTATAGGCGACTAAATGAAAATCATTTTAAAACACGCTGTATTTTTTTAATATACACTGTGTCAATTTTAAAACTTGCAATCGGCAATTTCTTTCAACTGAAAAAGTTATTAATAATCACTCAAAACCGTTTTGGTGGTTCCTAGGGGAAATTAAAATGACATGATAAGTGACGCACCTCCACCCACCCTTGAATATAATTAAAAAAATGGAAATTTAACGTCTTCGTTTTTGAATAATTGGAAAAATGGCTTTACCAAATAGGCTGTTGTATGACATTTTTGAAAAGCGCTTGTTATGGGCTTTCCAACGATGTATCGAAAGTAAGCTTGTGACATTTAAAATTTTCAACTTAAGGTGGCTGTGGCTTGAAGGGTGGGTAGAGGAGCGTCACTTTTCATGCCGTTTTAATTCCCCCTAAAAACCACCGAAATGGTTTTGAGTGATTATCAATAACTTTTTTAGTTCTAGAGATATTGCCGATTGTAAGTTTTAAAATTGACACCCTGTATAATAATATACAAGGACATTTTTTTAACTTTGAACATAGTCCCCGTATGTACAGTTGCGGAATTAAAATTTCAGGCAGTATTGTCATTTTCATATAATGTAAACTCTAAGACAACGTTTACATTAATAGCCTTATTTTGACTTAAAAAAGAGCGTCATTGACAGAAAAGTCAAATGTCAGTCATGATGACAGTAAAAGATAGTTAACAGTGAACTTTTTGAAGTGACAGAAAAATACTACCCGAAATTATAATTCCGTAACTGTACATACGAGTATACAGAGTGGAATTTTTAACTGGAATAAAATTCATAATTTGAATTAAGCGATTTTTGTAAAAAATCTTAAAACAGGTCGATTTTTATTTTTCCTTGCGCATCATTTGACAAATATGGTTTTTGTTTATCTGCTTTCTGAAATGCACAGCTACCTATAACTTTTTTTTTTCAAATGTAATGATTTGAGAAATGACACCTCGTTTGAAGGGTCGTTTTGCTAGGAATACAATGTAGGTACTATTTATTTTCTGATTAAATATTTTCAAAGCCTACATGATAAAAAATGAAATCAATCTTATATTCTATTTAATGCAACAAATATTCAAAATGGATATCGTTCTTTTCCTGAGAAACTGCAAAACGACCGTAACATGTATTCCTTACCTTTTGCAACATTTCAAGTGTGATTTACGACAGAATCGAATAACATTGAGGACCTTAAGGAACGTTTTAGGAATAAAATTATGCAAATCACCCGAAATGTTGCAAAAGGTAAAAAATGCATGTTACTTTTAATTTGCAAATTGCCCGGAAAGGAACGGTGCTTATTTTGAACATTTATTGCATTAAATATTACCTATTCAACTTAAGAATTTGTTCTTATTTTTTTATTACGTTGGAAATATTCAGAAAACAAATAGTGCGTTGTATTGCTTGTGACGTGGGCTTTCAAATGCGGTGTTACTTGTCATACCATTACATTTGAAAAAAAAAGTTATACAGGGTGCGCCAGAACTCGCGCCTCAGAGAAAAATTTCAGGTAAGATAGGATACCAGGAACCTGGAAAAAATGTTTAAAAAATAAATTCTATCTGTCAAAAAATTTTGACATTAATTTTTTGACATTCGACATTTTTTTATGTCTATTTAATGATACTGATGATCTTGTATATATTTTTTTTACAATTATTCAGTAAAGGTACAAAAATTTTACCAATAGAAGCCACAAATAACATTGAACAGAGTTACAATTTAGAATACAGTTTCTTTGTTTCTTCTTCTATAGCGAAAAAACTTGAAAAATTATTCTTCCAACAGAAATAAGTAGAGTCAAAGACCAAAATTTAAACTCTCATAACTTCGAAATTTTTATAGATAACATTTTTTTAACATTTTTTCCATGTTCCTGGTATCTTACCTTATATATCTCTGGGGCGCGAGTTCTGGCGCAATCTGTATAGGTGGCTGTGCATTTCAGAAAGCAGATTGACCATTGGAATTGTTTTTAATTTTAATTTTATATGTAATTTGATGTGTAATGTTAAAGTTTGTAAAGTATTTTAATGTGAAATTTTCTTGACGTAGGGCTGATGAAGGCCAAATTGGCTGAAACCGATACCCGATATAATAAACAATTTGAAATTGGGAGGAAATTTTATTTTTGGATGCGCAAGGAAAAATAAAAATCGACCTGTTTCAGGATTTTTTTACAAAAATCGCTTATATTCAAATTATGAATTTTATTCCAGTTCCAGTTAATGTATGTTTAATTATTAAATGAAAGTATCATATAAGTATTAGGTACCTAATTAAAAAAGCTAATGACGATAAAAATAAAAATATCTACAAATTTAACGTATATTTAATTGTTCTAAACCTTCATCTTTTGCTAAGATTTTAAATTTAGTATATTTTTCTGTTCTCGCTTGTATCTTGTTAGCAGCTAACGTTGTGCCCTATTTACATTGTATTGGATTTACTAGAAGCTTTTATTCACGGCAAGTTTAAAGTGCAGAAAATCTTGTTTTCATAACCCATGTAATAAGAATTTTTTATCAGTTGTAAAGAATATACAATTTTATTATATGCAGATACATTCTAAAAACGGAAGTAATCCAACTCGTAAAATTAAACAATTAAAATAGGCCATATTATTTTTTTACATTTTCAAAATGTAAGTTGATTTAACGTTTATTTCCTATTTAGGTTTTTTTTTGGAATTTGTTATACTTATGTGAAAACCACTTTCGTTAAAGCAGTCGAACCTAACTATCTTAATTCGTATTTTAATCGTCTAGTGTGTATGGTCATAGTGATAAAAGATTTTTCATAAAATTATTATGAATTTCTATTGTAGAAATAGCAAATAGATAAGTCTCTCTCAAACAAGTATTTTTGTAACTTTATTGTTACGTTATTGTTACTCTTTAGAGAAAAACGACGGTTACAATCCTCTGTAAACAAGAGCAATGCGGTAAACAAATGATTCACAAAGGTCACTCAATCTTTGGAACGATCATTTAAGTAAGATTAAAATAACCATGCGATTTTTACTTTTTTACATATTTACGCAACTAAATCAGTTGCAACTCCTACTTTTGTTTTTGTTTTTGCAGACGATGTCTGCGACTCAATTTCACATTAGATCTTCTCAAATTTCTTGGATGTTTTGCCCTTAAAAATACATGCGCCTCGGGCCTTTAGACAATTTAAGTATCTGTCTGTGATCTAATATATTCCATTACCTTCTCAAATAGACACATCCGTAATGAATCCTCATGTACTTAGCTCACAAACGATCAAATTCCAGTTGCTAAAGATATTAAAAAAATTAATGAAATAGTAGCCCGTTGAAAGCCGATTATGACCTTTAGGGTCAACTGATACCTCGCATGTTAGTGATCAGTCTGTGAATGATCATCTCTCGAGCAAGTTTTGTGTTTTTTTGTAATGTTTGGTCGTTGGTGAAATGGTTTGTTTGGATGAAATATTTTTGGCGACTTTGAGACTTTGGGAAGTTAGGGCAAGGTAAGGGCTATTTACATCACAAATACAGAAAGTTTGATTTATCATGTTTGCCACATATACCTACGCTGTTAAAATTAATAAAATTGATGGTTTTGAGAAATATGTACCTATATTGATTAAATTTAAATCTTATACGAACTATTTTAAGCCGATTTGAATTTGAAATTTAACCAAATTTGGTTATAGATAAGTGCGAACACGTTTTTTGCATGTTGTAAACAATTCCAAGATGTGAATCAATGATAACCTCAGAGAGACAAATAAACGAAGATTCTGAAATGACAAGAAAAACATTTGAGTTGAATAATATTTTTTTTCACAGTTTCAAATATGTAGAATGCTTTTTTTTTGACTAAGAATTTATTTCACTACCATTTATTTTCAATTTATTTTCAAACATTAATAAATTGTTAAATAATGAAATTATTATTAAACATGAATTGAGTCGGCTTGGTTTTTTCCCTAAATGTAATAACTTTTAAGAGCTTCTAAAATATTGCAAAATTTGCGTTTAATTATTATCTTTATAAAATAATTAAAATTTTAACTGAATATTGTATGATCAGCGTGGGTGCTTTAGATAACTTGTTTATAACTTTCGAACTGATTAACAAAATAAAGAAGTTTAATAACTAAAATTATTATTCAGTCATGTTTTTAACTCTAACCTCGACTAATAAAGATAATTAAAATTATTATTAATGACTTGTTGTATCATATTCTAACGATAAGATTTGTTTATTCCAGATTTTAATAATATAAGATTTTTTTTCATTATTACCTTGTATCGAGAAAAATCTTGTAGCAAGATTGTATTAATTTTTATTAACGAAACAAAATAATAAACAAGGCGAACACAAAAGACAACGCAATTTCAACTTAATTTAATTTCAAAAATTATTTAAATTTCTGTAATCGATATAACAACAATGGAAACGATTTTTGAAAATCGCAGGTCATCGTAAGTCAGCAATTAGAGATAACACTTTAACTTTCCTTAGATACGAATTATATGAATTTGTTTACAACTCGTGTTCTACTTTTTTATTTTAACATATCTTAGCAATACTTTAGTTTCAAATTTCGATTCGTAACAAACATCAATAGCTGATATGAGTGATATGAAATAAAGTCTGTTTTTTCTTTAAATGAAAATTACAAAATCAAAATTTTGGTGAAAAAATTGGTAGCAGCTTGTCCCCATAGCGACAAATTTTGTTTGCTCTTTGTTTTTGTCTCTAGAAATTTTGTTAAAAAAATATGGTTATGTTTTCAAATTGAGGTGTTGTCAAACTTTTGACTTATGAATATTGTGTGCCTGTTTGCTCTTTGAAAGCGCTATAATTGAATACCTAAGGTCTTAATACAGAATTCAGTGCTAATAATTTTGATAGAAACACACCGCAAGTAAGTACAATGGCAATCCCAGTCAGGTGTTTTATATAATGTTACCTAATCTCAACGGGACGAGCTTTTATTGACCTTTTAAACAAAGAAATGCTTTTTTCATTGAGAAACAGCTGTTCTCACTTTTCACTGCCCTGGCAGAAAAACACAATGAATTAATGGGAAAGCCTGCAATTTTCTTACTGCAAAAAGAGATCGGCATACAACAAAACATTTAATTAATTTAAAAAATAACACAATAATGTGTGGTTTCTTCAAATGAATTACAAAATCGTGTATGGAATTACGTAGTAAACAAATATCCCCTAAGCGTTTAATTTAAAATTAAAATGAAATTAATATTACGAAAGCTTACATTTATTTTGTTTATTTAGCAATGATAATAATCGCAATTTGCATCGATTATTAACGTTTTAATTAAAATTTAAAAATCTGTTGGGTAGTTGCAGTTTTTTACTTGTTTTACCATATTTTAAAGAAGTTTGGAATTTATCACCAGCTTTGTTTTTTTTCGCCGAGAATAATTGAGAATTAATTTCATATTCTTATTTATTTCGCTAATTAGCGTCATCGCTATTTTATAAAAAATGGTTAAGCCGTTGGAGGTAGAATTTATCAAATGTTACTACTATTTAAACATAGATCTGATTCACAATGTCCAATCCTTGTTAGACAATCCTTGTCTTGTAACATCTGGGAATAACACTAAAAAAATTTAATCCTAGTTGGAATTTAATTAAGCATTCTTGCAATTTCTGCAATTATTGGTATAATTGACAATTTATTACAAGGACAGTTGCGCAGGAACAAGACTGAATCACATAAGGCTTGTTTTCCAAGATAGATATTTGATTTTTATAGGATATAGTTTTTCTTTAAGTAGTTCAGTACAACATTATGTCAATTTTGGTTTAAAATTAACTTAAACAGATAAATATCCTATATTTACCCGGCGCATCCACCATATTCACAGCTATTAATAATTTATTGTATCTGTACAAATTTAATGGCTTAATTGTAAAATGGTTACAAGATTTTACTTTTTTGTCATAAACTACGAATACGAGTACAATATTCAAACAATCGCTCAATAGTAAGTTAGTAATCTTGACCTAAAGCTATGAAGATTATATCTTTATCTTTAGTCGATTAATTAGATAAAATATAGTTCAAAACAAACCCAAAACCTAAAAACGAAATTAATTTTAATGTGTTAAATGGATAGAATAATGGGTGCATCGAATTACTTTATCTTGCTTATCAGTTCCGTTTTATCGTTGAAATAAACTAATAATTATTCACTAATAAGACATTCAAGAGTTGTAAACACGTAAAAAATCATCATTGCCAGAGATAGAAATGTTTTTTTTGCAATAATTGCGCAAGCGTCTCTAGGATTTTCAGTGATGGTTTTGCGAGCGCCGTGATAAGCGTCGCGACGTCCAAGAGTTGAAAACGCGTGTGGCAATGATCTTAAACGCGTGTTTGGGCATGTGTCTCTGATTGATATCTCGTTGTTATATATGTGATCTAATTTAATATTGTCTCAATTGAGTCTATTGTGAGAAGCTTATTATATTTTGCGGTAAGTTGGATAAGAAATATGAGGAGAAAAATTTTGTTGAATGAAAAGTGTTTTGAAATAAATTCAGTTTTATCAAGCAGAATTGTATTTATAAACTTGCTATATTTTTCTTCTCTCAAAACAAATCAATCAAATATTTGAAAAAAATGACGTTCTTTATAGTTACGTTAGTATGAAGTTGACAGTTCTAAAGCACTTGTGTCTTAAGTATCTTTACCAAAAAACAAACAAATAATTAAAAGTGTTTATATACAATGATAAGAAATTAAATGTTAAAAACAACATCCCCCGGTTATTTTTCTTAATTTTATTTTACCTTAATATTTTTATTGCTAATACTTTTTTTGATAATATTTATATAAACAAGATTTTTTTATTTTGTAAACATAATAATATAGAAAAATTTGGGTTTTGATTTTAATGGTTTATCCACGAATTAGCTTTAAGGCATCTTTTTTATATATTATTTACTGAAAAGAGAAATTTGTTTTTTTTATTTTGCGTTTAGAATAAGTCTGTTCCAACACCTAAATAATGTCATTTGAGTGCTTTAATAAGTCGTTGGCGTTAATTTAATTTTAGTGACGGACTTTCTTCACTATTCATTTTCAGATGTGAAAATAAGAATTATTTTTACTTTTTACAGCCGCCTAAAATTATTCCACATAAATGTCGCTATCCGTCGCAAAATTCTCTAGAAAAAAACAATTTAAAATTTTCGTCTTTTAATTTATAAAATGATATAAAGCGGCAAAATAGAAAAAATAGTATAAAGCACTTGTTGCAGAAGGTTCTTCAAGCACTCATGTGTTCCTCAACTCGCCGGTACGTGATTCGTTTCGGAATTTCAAATTTGTGCTTGAATAGATATCGTACTTCTGCAACTTGTATTTTAATATACTATTTTGATACAAAACGCAGAATGAAAATGTTTTAAATATATATTTAGACAACCGTAAGGATGGAAATAAATTGAGCTCTTAGGGTAATAAAATATACCTTGATTTAAAATAGTATATTACATTACATAATACAAAAGTTATTGATTTTGTAACAGTCAAAATATTTTAATCTGGAATTAGTTTCTTGCTTTAATTAAATTTTGAATGTCGAAATAAACTACTAGATTATTAGATTAATAAAAGATTCTAAACGAAGATTTAGAAATTAGAAATGTGCTTGCAATTCCTGCAAATCTCCTGTAATGAAAGTTGTCGGGATTTTCATTTTATTAAAATTTATAAAGCTGAAGTATATTTACACTGAAAGCTTTCTACTTTATAATATTCTCGTGGGGCAGATCAAAAAGAATAATAGGGCTACAAAAATCTTCTTTTGATTCCATATACATGTAATTACATTTTTCCGTAAACGTTTCTGTCATCATTAAAGTAATTGCAAATTGTCTCAATTTTGTCTCGACATCTGTGGATATATTTACCACAATTGCGCTCTTTCCCACAATTACGAGATAAATTTTGTAAAGGAACAAACGATGGGTTTTAAGAAACACGATTATTTCTTTTTCAGGCGTGTCACAATAAAAGAATTTTAATTTCGGCAAAGTAGAAAAAGAAAAGAATTGCACCGCATTAAAATATTTTCCCTTCTGTTTAATTTAAAACGATTTTTCTGACTTTTGTGACCTCACAATACCCTTCTTGGGAAAATATTGCACGCAAATCCATCCCTTGGATTCGCACATATGGGGCAGTAAGTTAAATCTTGGTCAATTTGTGTCATTTGGGGTCAAGTTCGGACAGAACCGAATTAGTATAAAGAGATGAATATTTCATCTCCCGATTTTGTTCTATAATTGCGTGCACTGGAATTTGGTTATTTGGACGTTTCGTTGAATCTCTTGCATTACATGATAATTAGAATTCCAGGTTTATTATTCCGTTTCTAATAAATACTCTTTATCCACAATCACTCTATAAAGAGACTTTACTCCACACTTTAGATGCGTATAAAGTACCACTTTATCCACTAGTGGAATAAAGTAACT